TTGAGACCCATTGCTTCATTTTCGGTGGCGTATTCACCCAAATATTTGGAACTACTTACTTAGTGGTTTGTGTGCGATCGTGGACACAAGATCACGTCGAGGCATGACCTGGTAACTGGCACAAGTAGAGCATGACTAAGAGCAGTTTTAACCAATAGGCCTTGGATGTGCAGATACACTGACGCCGAGTCGGATAAGCATTGCTAAAGGCGGGAAAAGTACATTTAAACGATGCACTACAGTCTTTGGCATGGAGACATCTACTTGAAAGTATTAGTAGCGTGATTTAAATTAGCCCTGTTAACCACACAATCTAGTAGCCCCGGCAGTACCTCATAGACGCTGTTATTTGATTGGATGAGAACACTCTTTGGGGCCAGACATCCTTCATCCTATGTTTGTCAATACACCACCATTATACTTGTTTTCCGCAGAACCAAAAATGTTGGAAATGTCGATTGTAAGATCAGTATTCAACTCACGTACTGAGCTATAGTTTAGCAACTTAGGCACTACACATACAATCTGTTACAATCAACTATCCAAATTAAGTGTCAAGGGGTGTATTCAATGTAAGTTAATTCACGCCAAACATATCACTTGATTAACCTGTCTGTCTTGTTCGAGATAATTCGAGAATGATGACAAAGTAGGCAAGTTTTGTAGACAGTAAAAGGGATATCATTAAACTGCTCACACATTAGAATGCTAAAATTGATGTAAATGGATGACAGTCGACCAAAATCTTCTGTGTCCATGACTGTACTTTTGTATTTGGGATTTAACGTGACTGAGTGTACTGAAGGAGATTGTACTTGTTAAATTACACTCCAGTTAATCAATATTAGCAATCGCCAACCAAATTCATTTCTGCTACGATTGCGCTGCTGAGACAAGTGTTTAAGTTTCCTCTTAATGTCACCCTATAAACACGTCACAAGCTTGGTGGATGTCCAGTTTATCAAGCAAGGAAAAGTAAACCAATTTTGTTGACTAATAACTTGCTTGGTTGACGCAGCAGATAAGAGTAGTGAAGCCGACATTCTATTGGTCTTTATTTACAATCCCAAGGTTGCCTGCCATTGGTCCAATCACTGATTGTTTCCTGTTACTTATAAATTTGCAGATCTGGTGTCAGTGTTTGTGTCGCTTTTCTCACTCAACTTGTTACCTCGAGATCATTGGTTTATGTTTGAGGTAAAATAACAAATAACAGAAGTCAAATGTGACATTTGGATGTATTTCAAAAGTTCAATGCACGAGAACACTAAGTTCGTGGCACGAGGTAATACGTGTGATGTGAATTAAAATTGTGTATTTCATCTGCCTGATAATAGTAGCTATGACGAAGCGCCGATGGTTACTGTTACGTTTGCCCGTAGCAAAAGAGAAGACCACTCAAATAACCGTACCATATTCCTTGCCGAAGCTAGAACCGACCTTCCCAGGCTAATACAAGAACAAGACCAGAGCTCGGGTAGAGAGCTTTATTCACGTGAGCCACGTGCAGAGAAGAAGTGAAATCGAAAGTGAAAACGAAACTACTTCAAGTCAAGGTTGACTTTGACTTGATAAAAGCGTAACAAAACAAATGTTAATAAATTCATGTAAATAGAAGCAGAAACCAATCTTGGGGAATCGTGGATCCCCAACAGATACCTTACATAGTAAAATATAACCGCAAAGCATTAGCTTTTTGGGGATTGTGTTATCCAAACTCATAAATCCGATCGCGCCACTATCCAATCCAATGCCCCCCCTTCACAGCGTGCACGTCGGCCATGCAGAACCCTCTACTCGCATCCGCAGTTAATTAACCTCCCTCGCATTCCATTTCACTCATCTGGCAGTTCAGCTACCTGAATCTTGCGCAAGTTCATCCAAATTGTATTGGTTGAGGTAGTCAGTAAGCGGTTGTGTCCTCCCTATTTCATGTCTTCTTCATCTAATTGGGTATCACCGAAGAGTCATCGACCAACCCAACAACATGGCTGCCCGCACATGGTTCAAGATACCATGCCGGAGTTTTAACAGCCTAAACCACGTGGGTGAACTTGTGGAAGTGGAATTAGTAGCGGGGAGGGAGGTACTTGCAAGGGGATGTGAGAACTGACGGCCCCGGGTGGCTGACAGGAACACTGCAACTTGGGGGAACAGTGTGTCGGAGAATACCCCTACCGGTTTAGTGGACTTAAGTGCAATCTGATGACCACAATTATCATTTCACAGCCCCGAATTTGATTTTAATAAAAAGATGATTCAGAGGGTCAAATTATTTTGCCGTCATTTCAATGTGAAGTGCAGAATATGTCACAACAGGTATGTGTAGGTAAATTAGGCTTTCGTTTGTTGATTTCATGACAGAGAGCTGGTTAATGAGAGCGGTTTGTCAATTTGCCAATCACCAAATTTGGGTGAAATAGTAAATGCTATCTACTCGAGATCGAGTTTGTTGTCGAAATGATACTCCTCACTGAAAACCGTAACATGTGGTTATATTACTGAGTGGCTGATAGGAGTACTGAAGAAAGGGAACAATGTGTCGGTGAATACGACGACCTAGTTAGTGGACGTGAATTACTGCGCACAATCGCCACAAGGGTTCATAAACAGGCAGTCCCGCTAGGCTGAAAGACCCACTGTAAAGTGGGGGGACAGTGTGTCGGAGGATTCCACGAACTGTTAATGGACGTAAATCAGAATGACTCACTACAAATACACACTTCGTAATTGTAATCTGATGATTAAATACCTGACCACAATTGCCATATCGCAACCGCTAATTTGATTTTAATTAAAAAAATTGCTGTCGGAATGTTAGAGAAAATCTTCGAATGGCCGAACAATCCGCCGTAGTTTCGATGTGAAGTGCAGGATATGTCAAAACAGACATGTGTAGATAAATTAGGCTTGACAGAGAGCTGGTTAATGCGAGCGATTTGCCATTTTGTCATTCTCCAAATTTGGTTGAAACGGTAAATGCTATCTACTCGAGACTGAGTTTGTTTTTGAATTACTGCTCCTCGCTGGAAACCACAACATGTGGTTACGTCGTAGTCATATTGTTCTTTGACATCCAAAGAATTCATGTGGATTATGAGAAGACCGCTTCTTCGACGGCCTGTGCCAGTGCCCTTCGCATCTAGCGAATTCATTGGTCCATCTGGTTGCACTTTAAACATGTTGTGAGTCGTGCTCATTCCCATCCATTGACCTGGTTGTCGCATTCTCCGCTACACGTACCTTTTTGCAATGTTGTTATCGATTTCTCTAAGCCGGTTGCTCATACATCCCTATGCATGTACCTCCCTCACGCTACCATTTTTATCCTTCGGACGGTTCAGCAGTTTGTACTTCTTCAGGTTAACCCAGACTGTATTGTCGGTCACGATGTAGTTGGATCATGTCACTGCTCTTGGGACTGTTAAGCCGAAAACCTTCGTCCTGGTCTGCCTTCCAGTATTGATAAAGACTTTACGCCTGTCTTTGAAATCAAACTGGTCACAACAACTGGTATCGAGTATCACCCGGCGATATGTGATTATCCATGCCCGTCAACCTTGCCAACCAGTACACTCATAGCACAAGGATCCAATATCACATGATGAAAGGTCGAATCGTGTGCACATGCCTGCCCCATCACCACTCAGCCGGTCATCCAGACACTCGTACTTTTACTTGGTCAACCCAACTTCATTTATCATCAGCCTCCACGACATCGTAACTATAGCGACACCTCACAGCAAAGTTGAGACATCTAATTAGCGATTAAACTTCACTCTCTGCATCAACACATCGGCAAACCAAATCAAATTATGGCCACTGCTAAAATCGTAAATCAGAGCAGGTATAAGATCTGGTGAACAATGCCCAGTCAATGTGTGGAGCTATCATTAGCGATAGCATCTCAATTAGGCATTTTGCATCATTTTTACGGTTGATAGTCGATATATGCCAAGTTTGTGTGAAGTTTATCTTGCTGACTTTCATAAACTGGTGCCGAGTTAAAACAAAGGAGTAGTCGCTTTTGTTGAAAGTCGCCATCATTATCAGGCCTCGTTATCGCACGTTAACGCGAGCTCCGAGATACTACCATTTTGATCTTCAAACAGGGCAAGATTTTGATTAAAATGGTACATAACTTGAAGCTATCAGACTCGAAATTTTTGACGATGTGGTAAAAGACCGTGTAAAATCATTGGTGGTTATTAAAGTGGCTGTAGTCTTCAGAGCTCTGATATAAAATTTGAGCCTGCCTTGTGTTTGACTTCACATGTACACAAAACAGAAAATTTGATTTCGAAAACTCACTCCAGCCAGAGGAGAAATAGTAGTACTAGTAGTGCCATATGACGAGAATTGACCAAAATCTGTCCTGAAATCCGTTTCTCGTCAACCACTGACTTTTCTTATTAGGGATTACAGTTTCATTCATCTTCCATGTGGCTGCACGAAATCTTCTATACTTTGGCTAGATTCGCAAAACAAGTCGTTGCTAACCACGAAAGCTGTGTCTTGATGTTTGCTAACGACAGCATCAACAGTTCATGACGTGACAGGTGAGGCTTTGGCTTCATTCAACGGTCACTGCCAAGGTGACGTTCAGCCAACTAGATGTAAATGTTCTCAACGCTTGTCACGCCTATGCAACATGACCTTAATAATCATGCGTAATGCTTTGACCCTTGATAGAAATAAATACACAAGTCCACACATTATCGAGCGTTTTCACACAGAAAGGCCCCAGCCTTTTAACTCATGCAACCGTAAGATAAAAACTACCTCACTGAAAGCAAATGCCAGTGAGGACCAAACTTGGCAGTTAAGCCTCCTGATCACAAGACTCAAGGAAAAATAGAAACAGGGCTCAGTCACGCGCATTAGCCGCTAAGAGAGCACAATGCACAGGCTTGATCCGCGAAATGCCTCAAGACTACTCATTTAATTTGAAACGTAAAAAAACATATACGAAAACGACAGAGACAATGATTTGTCTAGTGTCACGGAACAAGAACACCCATTTCGTAGAGTTTGAACTGGCTGAGGAATTCGTCACTTGGTCTATTCACAAGGAAAGGCAGTGTGCGGCTGATACGACCATCGATTTTGTTCGGCTTGTCCAATCCAAGCATCGCACAGATGTAGGGGTAGAGATCGATCTGGTAGAACCTCTGAATCCCCTCCATCTTCTTCACATCTGGTCCGAACGCCACCAGGAACGGGTGCATGTCAGGCTCGGCGTTGTCGTATCCGTGCATTCCGTCTGTCGTGAACAGAAGGAGGCATTAGAATACCGCAATGTAAAGCGAAAAATGCATTAAGGGAGTTCACTTACACAAATTTGAATATTTGTAACTGCTAGATTTAACTAAGTATCCATTATCAGCAATGCCGAAAACTGGCGCGATCCTGCGGTTGTTTTTAAAGTGATATCTCTCAGGGATTTCATGTTTGTAGTAAACTGAGAGATGAGACGTATTCATGATGGCATCGTGAAGTTGTTTGATGGAGGTGTTTTTCTTTGGCCAGAGACCAATACTAGCAGCAGAGGTATCACCAATGTACGACAAGCCTTTCAGCTTACTATAGACATCAATGACCTTGTTTACCGGATCAACTTGAGTCATTCCATGATCAGATGATACCACAACATTGATCTTCCCCTTCAGACTTGGGGTTTCTTCGATTCTCTGCAGTAGGTAGGCAATGCCATCGTTAGCGAGTTCAATGGCATCCAACACCTCCTCAGAATCTGGACCGTATCTATGTCCAGACTTATCTGGCTCGTGGAAGTAGAACATGCAGAAGTTGAATTCCGGTTTAGAAATATGGTCAAGGACCCTGTCAACTCGCCATCTTAAAGAGTAGGCTTCTTTGTAGAGACCTGCAGTCGCGAAAGCCATCTTGCCACGAATCCGAGCCTCACTTCCAATCCACTGGAACACACAGCTTCGGTGACCATGGCGTTCATTCGTTTGCCAGAGTGGTTCAGCACCTGCGTATTCAAACCAATCAGATTCCATGTTTCTTCTGGGGTCCTTGTACTTGAAGGATTTGTTCAACCGTTCATCAAAGAACTTGTTCCCAACCAGCCCGTGGTTCTCCACATTGCGTCCAGTTGCCATGGCGTAGTGAGAGGGAAATGTGAGCGTTAGCATGACATTCTGCACCTCAGCTTGGAAGCCCTGTTTGCGGATGTGGTCGAACGCCGAGATATTTCTGCCTTTTGCTGCAGCCATTTCGAGATAGTCGTGCCTGAAGCCATCAAAGGAGACAAAAATGACCTTGTTTGTACACTCGGATGGAGTTGTGAGTGCAATAAGTAGAAGAAGAACATGCAGCCAGCGAACCAAGCTCTGACGCATTGCGAAGTCAATAAACCAAGCAACTTCTCGTGTGGCTTATTTTTATAGCGTGACCTACAGCGCACGAGCCACGTGATTGGCTAGAATGTCAGTGTCATGTCAGAAGTTAGTGTGATGATCCACACGCTTGATCGCAACCAAATCATGCGTGATTTAGAGCATTAAGTCGACTGAAACCAGAAAATCTCGCTCTAAGTTCACAGTGTGCTTAATTCCTTCTAAAAGTATTCTAAAATATCTCATGGGGTGCCTTTGTATCGAGCTAAAATGCTGGTATTTATTAATGTTTGAAAATAAATTTAGTACTACTTATTTAAGGAATCTCCTTGGTTAAATAAATAACTTTTAGCCAGTGTAACTAAATCCAGTGTTTGGGGTCGGAGTGTTCATTTGGAATTGTACACGAAGCCACAACATTTCTTGTCACCTCTAATCAATCGTGATGTGGATGTCGGTTTAGAGTTTACCAGGTTAGGACTTCCCTGTTTTGAAAATCCGAACTGGCTTATTTTGTGACACTGCAATTCATTGTGGTTTTTGACTTCCCACATTGGTAAAAACACGCACAGGATGTCAAAGTGGCAGGCGTCTGCGTCGAGCATGATATCGTTTGGCGCAGTTCGTGACTTCTGGCAGCCTACGCAGGCTTATCTCTCAGTGCAGATATTCGCCTCAATTCGATCTGTTGCATGGAAGGCAGGCATAAAGTGTGAATTGAGCTCGAAAATTTGTGTCGTTGTTTACATATTCAACATTTGTGGGCTTGATTCACAGCAGTAGAGATTTAAGACAAGACGGTGTCGAACAAGTTTTTAAACCATAAATGGATAAACTGCAAAATTGCCCAGATTTGGAACTACTGATAGAAGACATTTGCGTTTGGTATTTGCCAACTAGAAAGCATCGTATTTGTCTGTTGGATTGCATACCACTAGGCTTGATGGATCACCGAAAAGATAGTAAAGAACTGTTCGGGTTCCCTGCGCAAAACCCCGAACGCAAATGGTCAAAAGCTTGAAATATATAGTCGTGGAGATTCTGAATTCCAACACACTGAAGAAGCAGTTTTAGTTGTCGGCGTTTTTTGACTACTGCGTCTTGGGGTTGATGGCCGTTCCACCGCTACGTGGCCACTGTCGGTTGTACTTGCAGAACTACAGTAGGTGTGAGAAGCCGAGGGGTGTTGATGAGCACACCATGTGGAATGCTGGGCTGCTGATCCGGTGTCCTTGCTGCTTGTCTCCGGCAGAGATGTATAAGATTTTTCATCCATGTGTCGTGACCCGCCTTTACGTCAAAGATGACCCTTTCAAGTTGGCATGTGATCGAGTCTTGGATCTGTTCTGAATCGTGTTTATTCACACCCCTTAATCCGGTCGCTCCACCTCCGACAGAGGGTTCCTCTTTTCACAGCATGGTGCCAGCCGCGCGGATCCTCAACTCCCCCCTCATTCACTCAAAAATTTATCTTGGATTAGCCTCACTTCTAGGTCTCGATGTTAACGCAAGTATGACTCACACATCCGAGGTATAAGTACCCACACGCAAACCCCACACACGACACAACGATGCCAACGTAGCTGAACTCTGTAGTAAACGGTTGTCTGCGTCCTCTACGATCCTTTTCTTCATCGCGGGTATCAGGGTAGCGTAATGTGGCCAGGGTTAATTCCGCGGCCCCGGGGTGATCCAAGACCACATGCTGTGGCCCACGACAGATTCATGGACCACGAACTGGTTGGTATTTTCGAGCGTACACGAGAGTTCCAACCCTAAATATTCCTGTTGGTTACACGCGCAGAGGACAGAATATGTAAAACGATTTCGTTTTAAGAGTGGAGGGACTGTAAGAGCACTTGGGCGGGGCTGATGGCCTGTTGCAATGTGTTATCCGAGACGGTCTCCCGTTTTATGTCACCGACTGTGACTGAACATGCGTGGACTTCCTGCGGTAGCCCTTGAATGGCGCCGTCACTAGGGCATGCGGCAGCGATGACGGCTTCCTCTCTGGTGATCAGATTGCTTATGATGAGAACATCTGTAGACTGCGCGTCTTGGCACATGGAGCTGATCGGGATATTGTTAAAACCCAATTGGTCGAACCAATCCAGACCATGGAGGGTCGTCTTGATTATGGCTGCATGATATTGTTGGGGCTCTTTACCACAAGAAGTAACCCGGGTAAATCATAAGTCCGGAGATAGCAGGCACGACGGTTTACTAGACAGCTCAACCAAGTTGTGTCCGTGTACTTTTATAGTTGAGTGGACATGTACAAAAATAAACACAGGCGCCTGTGAGGTCACATGCCCAAAGTGGGTGGTGGTGGTGGTACATGCAGGGGGGTTAATGAACCAGCGGCCTTACGTGGCTGACCGGCACGCCGTATAAAGAGTTGACGAGTGATGGGAACTGTGAGGACTGGGTTATTGGACATGAATCAACACGATTCACTACAGCTCTCCTCCTTAACGAAAGGAATGGACGAACCTTTTCTTCTAATAGAATATTCTGAAGGGTATATCGTAAGTAATGTGTGGACGGTTTGAGCCCTTAGTGATCAAGCGAAGCGAATAGTCGTCGTCGGATGGTGAATGAAACGCTTGGCGCCATGCTACGTTTGGGATGCTTATGCTGCTGCAGATACAACCTTTTCTTCCAGCTCGATATCTGAAAGGTTGATCGTAAGACAGGTGGGGCGTGACATCAGGTAGTTGAGGCTTTACGACTAAGTTAAAAGTTGAGAACGAAACGGAGAATGGATCAAAGAAACCTGCCAGGCAAGCGTCGAGTATCGAGGTCTTGACGAGGGATTCGACCAGAATAAGAAAAGAGAGTCGGGAGACGAGGTTAGGATGGTTGACCGGGGAAGAGTGGTGTTGAGAAGCGATGTTCATCGTCAAGAAGTTAGGCAGCTTCCGGATATTAGTAGGGTGCTAATGATTGGGCGTCGTTCAGAGGTGATTGGGGCCAGAAATAAAACTTGGTTTACCTATGCGGGAATTGAGTAATGAAGCTAGTCTGATACAGGAGGATGTAGAGTTTAATCGGAAAAAACGGAATCGGGGCCTGGAGTCGAGCGTTGTCTAACAGTAACGATCAAGTTGATATTCGGAGGAGGATAGAATGGCTTGAGAGGTGACTTTTTTTTATTAGAACGTGAGACGGACTCAACACTCCGCTCAAACCGCACCCGAAAATCGCCAACTGCCAGGTCAGAGAGGTTGAAAAACGTTCACGTCGGGAACGCAGGCGTGGCAAACGAGTCAAGTGGAATCGACGGACCTTTTCTTCCTCTGAAAGGTCAGTCGACGGTGTGCTTGTAGAAGGCCGAAGGTGTTCAACAGGGGCCCCCGGTGCGCTTAGGTAACCAATTCGTTGGGGCCCTTTACCACAAGAAGTAACCCGGGAAGGTAATGAGTCCAGAGATGGCAGACACGACGGTTTACTAGGTAGTTCAACAAAGTTGTGCTGTGTACTTTTACAGTTGAGTGGACATGTGAAAATGAACACAGGCGTTTGTGAGGTCACATGGTCAAAGCGGGAGGTGGTGGTGGTGGTGGTGGTGGTGGTGGTAGTGGTACTTGCAGGGAGGCGGGTACACTGTGGAAAGGGGAGACGCTTGTTGGAGGCAGATACGACTGGGTTATTGGACATGAATCAACACGATTCACTGCAATTTTTGGCATTGAAGGTTGTGGCGCAGAAGAAACACCTCACCGCATCTCACTTTGTAGTTGTATTACTCCGCCACAGGCACTGGTAGTATTGCAGGGGGCAGGCCTGATTGAAGGCGTACCGAAGAGTGGCATTGCTCCTCCCAGATGTTGGTAGTGTATAAAGCCGTGTTTAGCTGCAGAGAACATGGGCAGACGTTGATGAGGACGGTTATAAACATCCTCTGCTGCCGCATATTGTCCTCGGAGGCAACCCGTATGCTGCTTGTATGGGCAAACCTGACAAAGCGCGTCTCCACAAGGCCAAAACGCTGAATACGAAGTGCCTTTTGCTCTACTTCAGTGGTTTGTGCAGGATAAGATGACGTCCACGCTCAGCTGTAGAGGGTGGGAGTGGGAGATGGTTGTGTGATGCGCAAGACCGCATTGGCCTCGGGACCACTGCGACCCCCAGATTGGACCCTCCTGGTGCCGAACTAAATGCTCTTCCAGTGGAGATCTTCGTTGTGGATTTCGTCCAGCGTCGTGGTGGGACGTCTGTTCGAGCAGATGTGGCAGTCGCATCTGCAGATCGGCATACCTTGGAGAATTTGGAGACAGCAACTAGGAATAAGAATTGTGATGCTCTCAACTGACCACTGCTAAGTGGTCTAGGAAGTCGTGAAACCTTTGTAGTAAATCGTGTTGATTCACGTCCAATAAACAGTTCGTCTCAACCTCACACACACGTCCCCCCTTACACGGCGTGCCCGTCAGTCACTGGGACCGCCTGCTCCTCCCTCTCTCTGTATGTACCACCCCCATCCGCTCTATCCATCCACTTTGAGTATTCAGACCTCTGTATTTTTACAAGTCCACTCAACTTTATCATTCAGCAGAACACACGAGTCGTGCACCACATCTGATACACGCAAACAACAACACAACTTCGTTGGACTGTAGTAAATGGTCTTGCCTTGTCCTCTCCGGTCGTCTTCATCTTCACGGGAACTCAGGGTAGCTTAGTCGGCCTAGATCCGACGCAGTGGCCCGGCCGTAGTTCAAGGTCACATGCTGGGGCCCACAACGATTTGTGAGTTGCGACGCCATTTGCAACTAATTACTCAACAAGAATGAAGTCTACGGAAGGACAGAGAGTCAACTGCTTATTCGAGAAATCGACGAAGTTGTCGTTGTATGAGATTTGCGCGTGCATATTTATACCTCAGATGTGTGAGTCATAGAGGCGCTAACATCGAGACCTAGGTGTGAGGAATGAGGGCGAAGTTAAGGATCCGCGCGGCTGGCGACATCCTGCGAAAAGAGGAACCCTGTGTCGGAGGTGGAGCGACCAGATTAAGGGGTGTGAATAAACACGATTCACAACAGGTTACTCTGAACGTTTTTCAACCTTTACAACCTGGTAATTAGCGACGTGGCGTGGTAAGTCCGTCTCACGTCCTAATGAAAGTCCCCTAGACAGAGCAGGTAGTGATTGTACATACCAAGTGGTAAATGAGCAAACGGTCCTACTGACTAATGGGCACGCCGTGAAATGGGGGACGTGTGTGTGAGGCAGCGACGACCGGGTTATTGGGCGTGAATCAACACGATTCAATGCGCTCTCTTATCCGGAGACTAAGACACCGGCACCGGGTACGGAACAGGCAGGAGCCTTCAGTAAACATCATCTGGAGATATTGAAAGGTTTCCTAGACTGCGTAGTCGCGTGGGGTTCTAGGACGGAAGGTGTTGCAATACCTCTGGAGTTGTGCTGGACCAAGGTTCCGGGTCAGAAATCCGACCTTCCACGCGTCACCCTGGACGGTAAGTTAAGCCGAAAAAGGTCTTCACAAAGGCGATGCCACAAATCAAACGGTATCCCGTTTTCCGGATTTCGGGCAAGCCCTGCGATGCTGCTGATGAGGCCGCCAATCGATATCTGTTGACAGAGCTGCAGTGCACATCGCATTTCACATGTACCAGTCTGCCCCTCTCTAGAAATTTTGATTATTTATGTGAGTAGAGCGGGTACTCATTCGAACACATAACCAAGTGTATGGATGTTTGAAAAGCCAAGTACGATTCCGAATGCCCACACAACCCCAACGGTCGACTGTGTCGATACACACAATTAGGGGGCCCTTTCATCCACTCGATGATATACATGCGTGCGGCAACCATGGCGTGACAGCCGGTCATCTCGTTTGCTGCCACATCGGCACGCACCAACATCCGTATTTAGGCTAAATACTGGTTCACATATCTGATGAGCATATTTGCCACGTAATTCACTGGGTGATGAATGTTTTCGATGCTCGCCAAAAAACAACTTTGACTTGTTTTGCCAACTCGCATTCTTAGAAATTTGACATGACCTGCAAATCATTCTCGACATGCCATTCAAGTGGCAAACAGTGGGGCATGAATCCCACGTTTAATGCCAGGACCGTAATCACGCATTGCCGAGGTGATTTAAAGTGTCGTGACGTTGACCTGAAAAAGTCGACGTTAACGACCCGGGTTCGAACTCCACTTCTTAATTGCTGGCAGATTGTGTGCAGAGGCGGCATATTCACCCAAGCGTATTCGACTGCTTGCCTCGTGATTGGTGTACGATCGTGGACAGAGAAGGATAACGTAGAGACGAACACACCTACGTCTTGACTTATGGCTGTAGAACTCGGTGAATCAAGTACATGGACGAGAATACTTGGTAGCAGTGACTCAAAGATGTATTCGACGTGTCTGCACTAAAATAAGTCTAAAAAAGCACTGATGGAAGTAGAAAAATGCATTAAAATGACTCGTAGCAATGTTTCAGACTAGGCGACATCTACTTGAATGCATTAGTAGCATGATTTTAACCAGCCTTGTTAACCACACAACCTAGTTGCCACGGCATTAAATTGGACGCGTGTACTTTTCGTGGCAAGCCCGCGTTCCTCAAATCATGCCACGAGAATATCGAGAATGCATTTACCGCCCTGACTACCGCACAATGCAACGTCTGTAAACTAAGAAGGTGATTGGTAAAACAGAAGCTGAAATTGATGCTCTCAAATCGTGTACGAATTTGGCACTATAAAAGTTTAGTTGTTGTTGCCTGTCATGTTTTTGTAGAAGTGCTGTTTGTGAGATACTATGGTGGTACACGCTTCCACACGGGAATATCCATATAACCCTAAAGTTAGTAATAAAATTCATTTTAGTTCTCAAGCGTTTGAGTTCCCGAGCGAAGAGTCTGAATGAGAATTTGGAATTTATGTACAGGAGACAAAGCCTACTATACTCCACATTCCCGTTAAATTGATTGAATTGCACGCATAGGCTGCTGGCGTGAATTCATGAAAGTCGGGTACGAGACAGAGACGATCTAGACCGGCATTCGTGCCAATGTAAGACTGATAGCTAGCTACAAAACTGAAGAATGCCCCAAAAGGGCCTACAAGGCAGTAATCTATGCGTCATCTCAACTGGATCGCCACTTAATTCTGGTTTATGCAAAAGCCAGTGAAATCCGTGACTTTGCAGACACTACGGGTCAAATTACTTTCCATCAATCACGCACATTATTTATTAAAAGAGAATAATGCGCAATCTTGGTCTTTGAATGTAATGAAATGAGAACGCATTAAAATGATCTAGTTAAATTTAAAGCGATAAAAATATTGGTAGATAGAATAGGCAGCGATTCATCAAGAGTCACGGAACAAGAATGCCCATGGCGTAGAGTTGGAACTGGTTGAGGAATTCGTCACTTGGTCTATTCACAAGGAACGGCAGAGTGCGGCTGATGCGACCGTCGATTCTGTTCGGCTTGTCCAACCCAAGCATCGCACAAATGTAGGGGTAGAAATCGATCTGGTAGAACTCCTGAATCCCCTCCATCTTCTTCACGTCCGGTCCAGACGCCACCAGAAATGGATGCATTTCCGGCTCGGCGTTGTCGTATCCGTGCATTCCGTCTGTCGTGAGCAGAAGAAGGCATTAGAGGTAAAATAAAGCGAAAAGAGTATTGAGGGAGTTGACTTACACAAATTCGAGTAGCCTCTCGAATTGGTTTTGACCAAGTATCCAAGGTCAGCAATACCGAACACTGGCGCGATTCTGTGGTTGTTTTTAAAGTGATATCTATCTGGGAGCTCATGTTTGTAGTAAACTGAGAGGTGAGGAGTACCCATTATGGCATCGTGAAGTTGTTTGATGGAGGTGTTTTTCTTCGGCCACAAACCAATGCTGGCACCAGCTTCATCACCAATGTACGACAAGCCTTTCAGCTTACTATAGACATCAATGACTTTGTTTACGGGATCAACTTGAGACATTCCATGGTCAGATGAAACCACAACATTGACCATTCCCCTCAGGCTTGGGATTTTCTCGATTCTTTGCAGTAGGTAGGCCATGCCATCGTTGACGAGTTCAATAGCATTCAGCACCTCCTTAGAATCTGGACCGTAGCTGTGACCAGAACTATCTGGTTCGTAGTAGTATAGCATGCAGAGGTTGAATTCCGGTTGAGATATATAGTCTATAACTCTGTCCACTCGCCATCTAATAGTGTACGCCGATTTGTAGACGCCAGAGGTGGCAAACGGCATCTTTCCATGAACACGGGCCTCGCTTCCGACCCATTGGAACACGCAACTTCGGTGACCATGGCGTTCATTCGTCTGCCAGATTGGTTCAGAACCTGCGTATTCAAACCAATCAGATTCAATGTTTCTCCTGGTGTCAGGGTATTTGAAGGACTTGTTTAACCGTTCATCATAGAACTTGTTCCCAACCAGCCCGTGGTTCTCCACATTGCGTCCAGTTGCCATGGTGTAGTGAGAAGGGAATGTGAGCGTTAGCATGACATTCTGCACCTCAGCTTGGAAGCCCTGTTTGCGGATGTGGTCGAAAGCCGAGATATTTCTGCCTTTTGCTGCAGCCATTTCGAGGTAGTCGTGTCTGAAGCCATCAAGCGAGACAAAAATCACCTTGTTTATGCTCTCAGATTGAGGTAGGAGTAAAATTAGGGCAAAAACGAACAAGGTAGCAATGTTCTGACCCATTCTGACTTGATTCAACAACCATGCAACTCATCGTGGTGTTAGTATTTATAGGTTTGCCTTCAGCCTGCAAGCCACATGTGTGGTTTGACGAGTCGTTTGCTGCCAGGGGCCTGCGTGTTGGTCCACGCCATGCACCCTTACCATGTAGTGGGTGGACTTTGAGCACTGAATATACTGAAATTCTTAAATTTTGCTCTAATATCTCTGTGGCCGTTTCTTTTTCGAGTGATTTTGATACACTTTCGGCTGGTTGTAATCTGATCTTACATAACTGCTTAAAGTATCTCTTGAGTGTGTGTGAAGTCCCTAGCAGACGATGGAAGGACACTGCTTGGTGCGTTGGGGAAAATACGTGCAGTATATCGAAAACGGTGAAAACGCTTAAAACATTTCGTGACTTCTAACAGTCGGTGAAGGCCTGTCAGGCAGTGTGGAATTGCGCCATAACGAGTTGCGTTGGATGAATTGAATGCGTCAAAGTAAATAAGAGGCGATTTGAAAAGTAGTGCTGTCATGGCAAGGCAAGGCAAACGCTTTTCTTTTGCGCATTGCAGGCTCTTCTTCGAAGGTTTAATTAATGAGTGTGATATTGTAGGATTGAGTAAGACGGCAAGGTTTCATGGCTCACAATTTTAGCGAGAACTACTGCGCCATGTTTGGCTGAGTGACAAATGCAATGGGCAGCATAACATAGAAAACCGTTGTTTACGCAGAAGTTGCGGTGACTGACATGGAATCGCTAACCCCGAAAAAACCACACGATGTAGCTGTGCCAACTCCCGCCGCTGAAAATCCCTCGCATTTTGCACAACAAATCTTTAAATGTTATTCAGGCTTTAAGAGTGTCATCAAATGACAGTTCTTCATGCTAACACGCAGCTGTAGTGCATATGGGGATTCCCCATTTATTATGTGGGTTAACACGGACTCGCGTGACTCCGAATGCCCACACAACCCCAACTGTAGACTGGGGGCCCTTTCACTAACTCGGTGATATGCGTTAGGCAACCATGGCGTGACGCATCAACACCAACACAACGTCTCAGTGGTTTTTGGTGTTAGCCGGTCATCTCGTGTGCTGCCACATTGGTACGTACTGACACCGGCATTTAAGCTAAATGCTGGTTCGCATATCGGATGAGCATATTTGCCACGTAATTCACTAGGTGATTGATGCTTTCGATGCTCACAAAAAACAACTTTGAGCTGTTTTGCCAGCTCGCATTCTCAGAAATTTGACATGATCTGCAAATCATTCTCAACATGTCATGCAAGCTGCAAACAATGTTGTTAAGTGGAAGATACAGTCAGAAACCTATCCACGCATTGATGGCGTGAATTGGGTAGCTCACTTTTAGCTGTTCCTGCTAAAAAACAACGCAGGAGTGATTTTAATCCATGTGTCGTGATGATGACTTGTAGGAGGTCTGGTGAGTCAGATCGTCAAGCCAACGGAAACTACCTGGTACGAGACCCACTGCTTCATTGCCGGTGGCGTATTCACCCAAATATTTGGAACTACTTACCTAGTGGTTTGTGTAGGATCTTGGACACAAGATCGCGTAGGTGCATAACCTAGAGAGACACAAGTAGCAGTCATTACCAACTAGTCTGTGGTTAATCTGGTAAACAGAGGAGATTTCCTGGTGGCAGTGAACAATGGGAGTTCTAGATGAGCCCGCACTAAGAATTTTTTTGACTACATTTTGAAAGAATCAAAGAGTTCATTAAACCGACCCGGTAGCATCTACTTGACATTGTCAGTCGTATGATTTTAATTAGCTCTGTTAATAACATGGTCTTGCATCCCCGGCAGTGCCTGATAGTTGCTGCGATCAAATTGGACGCGAAAACGTTTCGTGGCAAGCCATCTTTCATCCGATGATTGTCACCATACCGTGGAGACTATGTTTACCGCTGAACCAATAAAGCTGGCTTTTTCGATTTTTGCATAAGAATGTTCGTTACTTATTAAACAATAATTTAGCTACCTGTCATAATTTTGAAATATTAATTAAAACGGAAGTATTTATTGCGAAAAATACGTACAATTCTTCAGAATCGACTATAACATATAAGCTTGAAATGGGCGTTCTTAGGTCGTGTCTCGAATAGCAAGACGTTCCCTCTAAGCTCCTTTTGTTAGATAGCAAAAAAGTAGACATTTTTCCAAGTAATTAGTGGGAATTTACAACAACCGAGGTAACAGAAGCTAACTATCGATTTGGGATATGAGAATTACCTAACACCTTCGTTGACATTTTTGGCAAATAGCTTTGGCTCTCTCGGTCAAGGTTTCATTGTGTTCAAGGTCACCTGTGATGCAGTATTAGTGGTAGATGGATCCTGGATCGAGTGCCAAACAAGGCAATTCGTCGTTTCGGAGAATGTAAAAATAGTATTCATAATTATTGGAATGAGAGTTGACCGTTTAAAAGCGAGTGGTAATATAAGGAATTTGGCCTGACTTCGCGATTACTCGGAGATCGTCACTATTAAAAGGCAAACCAGTTAAACAACTTTGGCAGTTACAAGCCGAACCACCATTCACCAATTACGACCAATGATGTGGAAGGTGACAATGTCATCTGCGGTTGTCAATTTTAATTCCAAAACCCAGAATTTTAAGTTCGGCATGCATAAATTCCAATTTGTTTTTCATTGAACCAATGATTACTTTTTAGCACCAATGTGGTGCGGACCGAAATTTTTAGTGACTGAGAGAGAGTTCCAGTCTCATGAATTTTGTTGAGTTTAAAACTTCTCTGGGAACACGTTACAAGCTTGGTGAATGTCCAGTTTATCAAGTATGGAAAATTAAACACATTTTGTTGACTAATAACTTGCTTGGTTGAAACAGCAGACGGGAATACTGAAGTCGACTTTCGATTGGCGTTTATTAGCAATCTCAAATCTGTCTGCCATTGATTCAATCACTGATTGGTTCCAGCCAATTATAAATTTTCAGATCTGGTGTCAGTGTTTGTGTCTCTTTTCGCTCTCAACTTGAAACCTCTAGAGTATTGGTTTATGTTTGAGACAAATAACAGCTGCGTTAAACCACATGTACCGTTTTGAGTTGTTCAAAAACCAATCGGCACGACAACAGTAGATTCAAAGGGCTTAGGAGAAAATGAAAATTGTGCCACTGGAACAATTTATGACACTCATTCGACGGCATCAAATACCACATTATGGGGTTGCTTAATGATTCAGGAAACTGGAGTTGCATTCTGCTTGGTTTATTTGTTTAAGCAGGAACTCGGAAACACGTGCCTTTGACGACTTAACGTTTAATCAGGGTGACCATCCTTATGGCTGACAGGTAACTCATTGGGCGTAAAACGCTTTGTGAGAAATCATCAGGAATCGAATGATCGCATCCACGTTCACTCCTGACCGGTAAGAAGTATGTCTCACATAGGCGACATGATCACCACCAACGCCGCTGATTACCAGTCGCGCATGTCGAGCATTAAGCAAACCAGTGCAGATCCTTCAAGCATTATCGTTGTCAGCTGCGTATGGCTGCAAGCGACAATTTCCAGGAAATGTTAAGGTCAAAACTAGTCGATCTCATTCACCATCGATTCCTCCATGTCTACCCTAATACGTCGGGACTGACTTCCTAATGAATTCCAATTCAGAGCCCGTCTTCACACACACACACAAGTCTATGAAACAATTCAAAGACAACATCGACTGTTTTGCCACAATCGTTCAGTCCGGCCTTGAACTCTGATCAGCAACGCGGGCCACCCCTTACCTCCTGCTGCAGGTCATAAACGTCACCCCTCTTAAGTCCTGTCTCTGATGGGTACATACCTCAAACGCCTTGAAGGTGAAGTTGTAACTTTTTTACAGTGTCAGTCTCATTCTGGATGTGCCAGTAGCTGTCTTAAAGAAAGTCAATAGCTCAATCCTCATTTTCGACTATTTCGGTAGTGGTCTCAGCGAAGGTCAGAATGGCGCCTCTACCCTCCAGAAGAGCTCCAGAGACTAAATCGGTTTCAGGATAAGGTAGCTCTCGAGTACCGCCAGTGCATCAACCTGTCATTCATATTCAAAACCATGAAGTACGAAGTACTTTTTATTATTTCATAGACACCATTATATCTGTCACTTTACGTTGATCTACACACCTCAACCAATTATCCACACGATTTACCCACACAGAGTAGCAACGCATATTGGACCACGCCAGCCTCAGCCAATCCTCTGTCTTTCTGCTTTCCAGTGGCATGCGAGGAAGGTAGGGAGCCAACCAGAGACAGACACGTTTGAGAAGTGGTGCATAATGAGCAGCGTTGCCAACGTGGTGGACTCGGATGGACGTGATTGGTCAATAAAGCCTGGTCTTTTGTACCAGTCTTCTTCATGCAAGAGCTCGTGTATTCTGTATTGGTGGCAGCGGATGCGTTCGAATAATGCGAAACAAACCCCAGCCCTTTCACTACAGTGGACAAGGGAGGCAAAAACCCTTAAAACCCAGCTGAAGTTGCCATGGCGGTCCAATACATTAGATTCAAAAGCATAGCCCGGAATTAGTATTATTGCATCTGAAGCGACATGGGCAACTCAGCAACGACGACAACAAGGCCAGTAAAAGCCAGCTGGATTGCAAATGCAGAAGGAATCTGCGGTGGATGAATCCGCCTTCCTGCAAATCAACAAGAAGAAAGTCCCTTGTCTGCTATTCGCTTTGGCTAGTCCTACGAGATGTGGGGCATCGGGGAGTGTCAAACTGGCTATTTTATAATTTATAGTCAAAACCACTCGGGGTATTATATTATTATTTCATAGACACCATTATGTCTGGCACTTCACATTGATCTACACCTCTCAACCAAATATCCATGCAAAGTACGCATGCGTATTGACAGAGATCTGCAGTGGATTTAGGAAACTATAAGATGGAGAACATTAGCTTACTCTTCAAATCACCGGTAAATGTGAGTAGTTAGCCAGTATGTTCTGGTGATTGTCCTCTCACGCCTCAT